AACGCATACTGTCGAAAGGTCGTCCGTGTATGCGTGTGTGTTCGGAAGCGAGTGAACTTTGTTACCCACTTTCAACTCAGCGACTAGGAAAGCTGGGAGGCTGAGATTTTAGGGCCACCCCATCTGCAACTCTCCCGTTTTAAAGTCATTGGTCATACGCGCCGAGATCTCGCGCGAAAAAATACGTGGATTTCTGTGGCGAGAAACGATTTCGTGAATCAAACAAAATAAAAAGCTGAAACTTTGCAGGCATGTTCTCTGTGCATGTGTAAGCTAAAAACTTCAAATTCAACCATTACGTAAGCTTGTGTAACGCGTGTGGTCACCTCAAAGTTTGCACGTGGAACTGTGCTAACTCAAATACTAGCCGGGAAAAAGTAGCTGAAACTTTGTGAGAGTGTTTGTCGTTCATATGGGAAATCGTATACCTAAACTGAATTTCGATTTGCATTTGCGCCACGATCTAGGACGCTTCAAAGATGTTTATGGCGAATTGGCTATTCCGCTTACCAGACAAACTGCTAAGCTGAAACTTGGCAAGGATATGCCCGCCGGAAAAACGACGGGGCGTCATGCAAAAAACTAACAATCATCTATGCTGAAAGTCTACGCGGTCCAATAATGCAACCTCTTCATTCTAGGTGACGTCCTTCCTCACTGCATGCAGGAAGAGGCCAAAACATAGCCAATATGAGTTTAAGTGCAAAAGTACAACGCAGGAACCATCTCTGCTGTTAGCGGTCTGCAAGCCTAGCTCAAAAACACATGATCGCACCGGCAAGTTTGGTGCATTGCAGTTTGCGTTTATACTTGGTAAACGAGCTGTTCTAGCCTTATTTTGGGTATTTTTCAGTGATACGTCGTTGGAGTCCAGCTGCTTCATGTTTCATATGGGGTTCAGCTGCCTCTTTGTTATCATATTTTATAAAGTTCTTTGGACGGGATAGATTGTTTGCTCTCTTCACGGCCAGTGCATGTGTTCATTCGAATATCTCAAAAACTAAAAAGCATATACCTTCTAAAAAAAAAAAGTAAAAATGACTCCGCTCTCATCCCTTCGATGATAGTGCTAGTGTACGGGAACAGTTTCTCGGTATTGTCAATAAAATTACATGGATTACCCGTACTGGTGCTGTTGCCCCAGGGAATATGCGCTACAGAAGTGTTCATCGATGTTCCGAATTTTTTTAGGTGAAGGAAGCTGTTCGCCATTTGAAAGTCCATGGCAGTTTTGTTGGCTTGGCGACTACACAAAGCAAGGCTAACCTCCAACAGATGGAAGCGTCACACTTGGTTTCGGATAATGCGTACGTATTTTTTAACATTTGCAATAGTTCCATTTCTGAAGTGAAATGAACAATGTTTTTTGGCACTGCAGCTCTTGTTACTAATTTAGACTGTTTCATTTGTTGGGTCCTATAATTTGGCTGTGCTGCTGACTTATATTTATCACAGACATCTCTTAGAGTCCTACAAATTTTTTTAAAAATGAAAAATTACTGCCCGTTCTGTTTGCCCTCTGGCATGCGCAGTTTGTTCATGGGCATTATCCCCTACAGCTGACTCGACAGAGAGCAGTTGCAGGAGCACACCAGATTTCTGAGAAACAGCAGTTGCTCGTCGACTGAAAAAAAAAATACAGAGCGATTCTTTCTCATCTTATTCATTTTTTTGTCATCTTAGCCATTCGATATCGTCTTCAAGTTAATTTTTGCTTCAAATGTCCCTTTGCTCAATCTGCAGGTTTAGGAGGTTGAATGGAATTAATAAAAGACAAATCTAAATGTTAGACATAACATGGGTTCAAAAATCAAGATGCAGAAAAGTAAAAAAGACAGCCTGTTGTCACTTAAAAAGCTGAGCTGTCAGATTTTTTACCTTTCCTGTTTTTTTGGCTCTAAACATGACTGATTTTTCAGAAGTTTCAGAACCTTTTTCGGTTAAACCAGCTTAGCAGCAAATATCTTCTGGACACAACTCTCTGAGAAAAAAAAGGCATATTCGAGTCGATTCCTCGATGTGCATCGCTGCTTGTAGTACTACAGATCTTTATACTGCCCTAAGTGATTCGCATAATAATATTTCAGGTATGTGGAGAGCGGTTTAACTGGCGATACATTAAAACCAAATGATACAGGTGCGAAGATGCCGCGCAATGAATCAATTAGCGTCTTCCTGAGGGAGAAATTCGACCAGCTTAATTCAGTGAGTCATAAAGTTTGTTTGGATTTTTGACATGTTCCAAAAATTCGTTTGTGTTTGATCATAGTGGACGATTTCTGTTTTGGATTTATTTATTCATAATTTTGACATTTATGCACAGTTGCTATAAATTAAATCAAGTTGCATTAACCATAATTTACTTTTAGCCAGTCTCATTCGGCGTGTATAGCCGACACTTGTTGGATGTCGACAATACACCGCGCGCCGTTTTCAGAAGACAGGATGCTCTCCATGTTTGTTGCTTTGTTAAAATTCCATACTAAATCTTCACTTACACTTTCGGGAAAAGAAGCGAGGGGAGTCTCTTTAAAATGTTTATTATTTATATAAT